ATCTCAGTATTCCCACAGAAATACAAAAGCAGCTTTTGATCAGATTACTTCAATGCTGCAAAAATGTTGTCAAGTTTTTCCAAGGTACATGATTAAAAATGAGCGGATTAGGAGAAAATGGGCCCCCTGGGCTAAACACCCCTCCTATATAGCAGACTGAAAGAGGGTGAACATAGGTGCATTGTTTGTAGTCATTTTGTGTCTCTCTTTGGGGTTGTTTAGGGTCCCTGATCTCGTTTTGTGTCTCTTTGTGGTTGCTTTGTGCCTTGAAACTGAGCATTCAAAGAAGAAATATTAACAGTCACTTCATACGGAGGCTCTGGGGCAGGGGCCCCTAACCTATCAGGCTCCTGGGCCTGTGCCAGGGAGGCCCGTTTGGTGATCCATGCATGGATCAAAAGCTATTCGTCCACATGTCTTTCAGATAATGCAGAGCAGAAGCATAAAGGATTTTTCCCCTTTTTTTTCCTATGGACTTCAGCTTCAAAGTGAAATCAAGGTTAGAGCTGAAACAATCGGTCCGTTAACCAATTAGTCAACAGAAAATTATTCTGCAACATTTCCAATCATCGATTGATCATTTATGTCATCATTTAAACAAAAATGTCAAGCAGTCTTTCTTGCCAGCTTCTGGCATTTGATAATAAATGTATCTTGTTTTAGCCTTCACAACACTGTTACCTGGTTTCTAGTATTGTTTTATGATGTTGCATTGTCCTGTTTTATGCTCTTTTACCATCCTTTGCGAAAGCGGTTTCCAACATTAACAGGACCTGTCTGATGAATAAAGGTTGAATAGAAATGAAAAATAAACTGAATTTCTTTGGGTTTTAGACTGTTGGTTGAACAAAATGGCCAATGTGATGACATCACATTTAGAAAATGTATATAGACATCTAGTTAATCTAGTGAAAATAGTGAATATTTTCTGACATTTCCTGACAGAATTCAACCACGAAGAATCAATGAGAAAATTACCATATTAATCAATAGTGAAAATACAATCACAGCCCAATCAAGATACAGTATACTGTTAAATTAAATCAGTGATGGTTATAGCTTGATTTACTTATACAAAAAATGTTTCATTTCTACTTGGTGGATAGAAAGAAAAAAAAATTGTTTCTATCCATAAAGCCAGTGAGGAGAAATAAATGCACATGAGGGAGAATTCCTCCAACGACTTCTTAATAATGTGAGCATTGGCTTTGTAGAAAAATGATAAGGAGACAATAGGATGCTGTATTCTTAGCCCCCGCTGTATTAAGAGCTGTACTGGGAGCACTCGGGTCCTTAGCTATCGCTCTCCTTCCCTCTCTTTCTTTTCAAGTCACCCCTCCTCTCTGTTCTCCCCCTTCTCTCCTCTCTGTCCTCTGAAACAGCCAAATGAACAGAGGGGACATATCCCAGGAGAGCAGAGAGGAATCCATCTCTGACAGGACTCACCTTCTGTTATCCTATAGCCCAGAGAGAGGGGAAGACACAGAGCAAGGCAGAGGCTGAAGGCAAATTAAAATCAATGTTGGACAAAACCATTGTAATGAAACCCAGGAAGAGGGAAAGCTACTGGTAGATGGAGTGAAAGTTGGGTTTTCTTTTTGTATTTAAACATCTTGGGGTTTTTTTAAGTTTAAAGGAACAGTTTGATATTTTGATTATTAAGCTACTTGCTTTCTTGCAGAGAATTCAATGAGAATATTAATCCCATCTGTATGCTAAATATGAGGCTACAGACGGTTAGCATAGCTTAGCATAAAAATAAGGGAAGCCCGGCTCTGGCACAAAATTTGTCGTTTCTACATATTAAATAAACAAGTGACATGGCCAGGTTAGCCTTTTCCCCCGGTTGGCTGTTGTCTGTAGCTTCCTACTTAGCGAACACGCAAGTTTTCTCACTTTCGATATGTGAGTAAACCAGTTTTTGTTTCCAGTTAGCCCCTTTTGGATTTGTTTCTTGTGTTGTGTACTAACTCCTTTTATTTTCTTGTTCTGCAACCAAGACATTTTTTGGACACAAGAAAATATCCCAGAAATTCTCACCAACCTATTATAGAAAAAAATAAAATCCAATTTTGTTTGAGTTAACCCCGTCTCCACTGTGTTGCTTTCAGCATCAGCGCAACCAAACACACAAACACACTCTGTAATGTTCTCTAGTATCAGGTTTTCTTATGAAACAGATACAGCGGCTGACCTTTAAGCCAGGCCAGCGCAGCCAAATCAGCAGTCTCTCCCTCGCTCTGTCACGCACACACATACACAAAATACACACCTTTGTCCACCTTAGGTCTTAACGTGGAGGTGTTAGCAGGCATGAAGCGGGTGTTACTTCCACTTTACAGTCATGTGACCGAACACCATCAGTAAAGCAGTGCGCAGATGAAAGAATACTTTTAACAATGTGCCACAGTGACAGCGTGTCAAAATGAAGATGTACTCGTTTCATTACCTGCTGTCCTCTGAAATCCTGCCAGCCTCCTTGTCTTTCTACTGCCAGTCAACACTGTGCTTATTCAAGCATCAAGCATGATCAGAATGGCAATGACGCCACCGAGCCAGGGGATTATCATGTGATATTATCCCATTTGCTGTGTGAAAGACATAATATAAGGAGGTGTCATGCTGCTGGGAATATCTATACTGAAGATTTCCCACTGTTAAATTGAAGTCAATACAAACGGGACGTCTAAAGATAAGAGAGTGAAGTCTTTTTCAACAGTAAAGCTGCAATAGTGAAATAAAAGATGGATTTCTATCCGGAAATCACAGCAGGGGATGTATCCCGTGATATGCAGAGTGTTTTTGATTATTCATCTAAATTTCCATTTGCATTAAACAAATCACAGCCTCATATACAAAACCACACATGCAATGGAAGAGAAACGCAAATACTGTGTGGCCCAGATGTGACTGTCTGAGACAAATACTGGGCCGGTGCATTCCAGCCCTCATCCAAACATCAACTCGGCAGGTGAGTCCGTGTGTGGGGAGGCATCATATGATGTGTAGATCAAATGCACCTGCTGACAACTGGACTGACACGCAGCCAAGAGCTGGCTTTGAAATGTAAACCAGTCTCAGACGGGCTATACTGCTCTAACCACAGTGGGACTATAAAGAGATAGGGGGGAAGCTCGCAAACAAAATGAAAGCCATAACAACAGCAGCTGAGAGTTGGACCGCTGCAAGAAAGATTCACTTCTGATGATGTTTTAGTAGACAGAGGCAGTATGGAGCTACAGGAGATCACAGTGGCTTTGTTTGAAAAGTCTATTTGCCTTCAGTATGGGCGAGAAATATTTGCATTGCAATGCTCTGTCAGCATAGGGACAATAACGCTTTCATGTTGACATTCTGCATCAGCTGTGATTTGTGCAGGTGTTTCCCCTCTGCACATGCGCGCGCACACTGCAATCAATCTTAATAGTCTGAAATGCAGCCAGTCCACTCTCGCACGTCACAGAAATGAATAACCACATGAGCACTAATGTGTACGTGAAGGTGTCTCTCTCTCTCTCTCACACACACACACACACACACACACACACACACACACACACACACACACACACACACACACACACACACAAAATGCATCCCCACAGCCTAGTCTAGCATGTGAGCATGCACATGTGGATGCAAGATCACAACGCCCATTTCATCTCTCATTGGCTGAGCCTGAGGTGACTGTAGCTATGCCTACAGTGTGTATGTGTGCATATGTCTGTGCAGACCCTCTGCTGTGAGGAAGGGGGTCAGAGCCAGTGGAGGGGATTGGCTGGTGAGGAGAGTCACAGCATCAGCACATCCTTAACCCACTGCCCTTCTTTCCTCTTCCCCAGTCCGCCTCCGCCACCCCCAGACCCCCGACCC